GGCTATCCATAGGCCTATCCTAGGCCTATGCCTAGGCTAGCCATAGGCCTATCCTAGGCCTATGCCTAGGCTAGCCATAGGCCTATCCTAGGCCTATGCCTAGCGCTATCCATGGGGCTGTCCTCGGCTAATGCCTCGCCTGTCACCATAGGGGCGTCCTAGCCTCGTAGCCGTTTTCCTCCTGGCCCTCTCCTCCCTGTCCGTTGCTTTCCTCTCTCTGCCCCCTCCACCTGCCTCCCCCTCTCCCCTTCCTGCCGGATGCGCCCCGGCAGGATCTGGCACGCAACGACTGACCCCGAATACCAGCGATCAAGCAAGGGCACCGGCGCTACGAAAAGGGAGGGAGGGAGAGAAAGCAGCAAACCAGCACCGCCGTGAGGGGCGCGTGAAACGTCGACGATTCGTGCGCCCCTCCAAATTGGAGTGGCCGTGGGCACAGAAGCTAGCCTACCTCTATCTTTCTGCCGCGCCTAGTACCTTTCCCGGAAATGATCAATCCGGCTCTTTCGGGTGGCCAAAGTCCCCGTGACCGCTCCGTCCCTTCCCTGCCCCGTCCGTTCGGCTTCCTTTGTCCGAATGCCCTGCAGGATTTGCGGCCAGGAGACTGGAAGCCGGCGCCGGTCCCGCGCAGGATGTGGCCCGGCATGACCTGGCGGGCAACGACTGGCTGCGAACACCGGCGATCACGCTCGAGCGGCGCAACGTCACAATAAAGCGGAGCGTTCCTTTTACGCTGACGGCCGCCACCACTCACAACGCAGCGACGTCGGGCCAATCACCGGCCGCCGCACTGATGGGAAAGACAAGAGCTCCCTCACAGTTCTCCACCGCGAAGACGAGCACGAGCGTCGTCTCCCCGTAGTGACCGCTGCGCCATGGTCTCGCCGGCGACGCTGTCCGTGTTCACGGCCAGCCACTGGAGGAGGAAGACCTCCGAATCACCTCGGAAGATCGGGCAGCCGGGCGGTGTACGGGGGCGGCGCGCGAGGTTGGTGGATTCGGTGCAGCAGAGTTGCCGGGCAACGTGCGGACCACATTCCGGCGTGGATGCAAGCCGCGCCGTGCCGCGACGGGATGCGCGAAGTCGCCCGAGTGATGCCCTCCAAAGTGCGGCAACGGCACGTGCACGCCGCGGAAGGGTGGGCAGCGGAGGCCTTCCCGCAAAACGGGCATGAGCGCCGTGAGGACCCGTTCGCGGAGGTCGACACAGCGCCGCAGGAGCTCGTGCGTGGTCAACTGCCCAGGGCCGGCGCAGCGAGCGACGGCTGCGAGCCGTAGCACGCAGGGAAGGGGACAGAGCGGTAGCAATGCAAGCAGCAAGATCTCGTCAGACAGCTGGAGAGGTTGCATGGCAGCGGAAGGCCGAAACACAAAAGGGGCGGGCAGCGCAGTTTCGAGCCGGAGACTTGGTGGTGGCAGACAATATCCATTGCGGTCAGACCTGAACGTGAACGGACGCGATAGGGAGGCGCGCAGATCCAGCTGTTTTCATCTGGCCAGAAGGTCTGCAATCTAACGTCGATGCAGGACGCCAGCACGCCACCTCGGGCGAGGCGGCGGCGCGGGCGCTTGGAACCGTCCACGCACTTCGCACGTCTTCTCCCCGTCCACGATACGAAGCAACCACGGCATCTGGAAGAGCAAAATGCGATCACCGGCGACGGGAGCGGCGCTTGGCGCTGCCGGGCATTGCTGCACCGGCGGCATGGCCACCCGCCGCGGCCCAGAGAGCGCACGAAAAGCTGCGAACACGGCTGCGGACGGAGGGGTTGTAAAACAAGACAGTGTGAGCGTGCAAGCCAAGCGCAGGATGCCAACGCCCCCGACCCCTCAATCGGTTTTCTCGCGCAGCTTCGCGACTGCTGCGACTTGGTGCCCCCTTCAGAAGGTCAACCCGAAGATGTAGAGGTACCAAAGGGGCGCCGGCAAGTCAACGCGCCACACTTCCAACTGCAGCCACGCCTGCCACAGCCGGAGGGTTGTAGAACTCTCTGATCCACGATGCACGGCATCAATGAAAGCTCCGGCCCGGACCCAAACAATAGAGGAGAAGTCGTCCAGATGCGGATCCCGCTGGAGGAGCGCCCGTAAGGTTTCGAGAGTCTCCCGGGAAACGCGGTAATCGAAGACCCCGGCCAGGAAGGCGTGCAGGATGACAAAGAAGGGCAGCACTCTGGGGATGTCTTCGTCCTCGGAATCCTCGACATCCGCCCACCGGACGCCGGGGCGGAGCATGGCAGAGTGAGTGGAGGAGAACGCGAGGGCAAAGACGGCCGGAGAATGGCTGCGTCCAGAAAAGCGAACTGAAGGGTCTGCAGGAAAGACGCATGCAAAACGGTCGCTGCTTCAACCGTTTGGGCGCAGCAGCTGTCACCACCTGACAGGCGGGCAGGGGGTGCGTCGGCAACGCGTGGGAGGTGACTGACAGCTTCTTGCTCGCAGGTCTGGGTCTAGAGGCGGACGTCACCTTGCAAGGAGCAGCGTGCCGCGGCGGCCGTAGGAGCGCGCCGGCGGCCAAACGCTGCAACTTGGAGACTGTACAAAGAAGATAGCCGCCGCGAACGGTCCACGCGTTGATGCACGTCCGGGAAGAATGGAGGATTGAAATAGATGTCAGCTATACAGAGAAAACATAGAGCACCCCGGCCACAACGATGCACGCGACTAGCAAAGTCGGGTCGCGTTGCGTCGCCGTCGCCAAAAAGGGCGCCAGTGCAAAAAAATCAAAACAGAAAGGCTCGAAAGAACGAAGCGCAAGGCAGGACTAAGGCGGCTTCTACCCCAGAGTTTTTGAAACCTCCACAGGGGCCACACGGCGGCGCTGGGCTGGCTGCTCCACGGGCGCGCGTGCGGGGGGCACCTGGCCATTCTTCACAGGCAAGATCAAGCCATTGCAGCCAAATATCGTGCATCTCCCACGGCAACCCAGCATCGTTGGGCAAGCGTGCCAGTTCCTGCGCGAGCGAATGCACTGAGATCACAGCTGAAAATGCCGGAGTTTGCCTTTCTGGCACTTTCGTAGGTCGTCTTCTTCGACCGGACTTATAGGCCAGGGAAACATAGGAAAAGCAAGGCGCCGGGGGGCGTTCAGGAAACAAACGGACGAAAGAAAGGCAGGGTCCTCGTCCGAGAAGCGGCCGCCATGCAGCAGCTCCCGCAGCCGCGCCAAAATGTCGCTCTCCTCGGCCTCCACGCGCTGATCCAGGAACATGTAGGCCTCCAGGTGCGTCGGTGTCTGCGCGCGACGCGCTACCATGCAGAAGATGTTCCGCAAGTTGTTGAGCGCCAACTGGTCCGTGCCACCAGTGAGGTGCAAGGTCCGCAGCACACCTTCGTCCGCACTCTCGGCAGGTGTGAGTGCAACCTCGCCTACGCTGGCCGCTGCGTTCGCGGACGCAGGAACAACGCCAGAGGCCGGATCCAGCAGGGTCGGCAAAGGTGAGGAGCACACAGTCGGTGTTCCAGGTGCCTTGCTGATGACAGGCAGCAGCGGGGCCGCAGCCATGGCAGGAGCGGGATGCGGTGCGACATGCGTGACAGGAGGCCGAGGCCGCAGGCGTGGCCGGAGCAGGCAAGGTGGGCCGGTCACTCTTGACGGACCCATGCTTGGTGCAGGAACGCGCCACCGCATCCGGAGAAAGCTGGAGATGGGTCTGCAAGAGGGCGACGGTGTGGGAATCTGAAAGCTCCAGCACAGTCGGCTTCACACATCGCTGCCCATCAGACGCCTGCAGCACACTCCCCAGTCCCATGCGTGCCAAGCCCGCCGCGACGTGTTGGAGCCACCACTCGGAGCGCGTGGCATTGGAATGCCCCTGCGCTTTGCTCCACCCCCGATGCAACTGGGCCTGGCCCAGGTCAGCCTGGTTTAGCTTCCGGGCAAACATCCCCTTGCTCACAAAATGCGCATCCGGGCCATGTGAGGGCTTCCCGCATTAAGCCCAGGATCGCTGCATTGCGCTGGCGCGCCGCCTCCTCAACGGGGTCCAGCTGCACCTGCTCCTCGGAAAGCATGTGTACAAAGGCCGGGCCCAGCGCTTGGCAGAACAAGGTCGCATCCACCTCGCCGTCTGCTTGTGGCCGCGGTGGCGGAAGAGAGGCGGCGTCGACCCCTGCAAGAGACCGGCCAGACGAAGAGACACGGGGAAGGAACCGAACGAAAGGCGCGCGAAACGTCCACGTTTGGGCTCTCCCTCCGACGCACAGCAGCGCCGGGCACAGCCGAGACACCACGAAAGCCAACCGCAAAACCACCAAGGACAGATGCCAGGGTCAGTGCAGCTTGATCCACGATCTCGGCCGTGATGCGCGTGTTGTCGATGGTCGCATCGTCCGGGACCAAGACGAGGAGCGCGCGCAAAGAGAGACTTCCAGCACATCGTAACGCGTGATGCCGTTGGACCTGGCGCAGCTCAGCGGCTAATTGATCGTCAACATACTGCGCGTACCCCGCAAGCCGCCAATTCCAGGCATCGAAGCACCGGAATTTCTTGAGGCCGGAATCCGTGAAGCGCAACTCCGGGTTGGGGAGGCCGTGGACGAAGTGGTAGCACCGCTTCATCCCCTCTGGACGCAGTCCCCGCGCCGTGGGAGAAGGTCACGGCGAAAGCCAGCCCGATCTTCGAAAGTTCTCCATTCTCCTGAAGGACCTCAGTTGGGAGCTGCACATGGGCGGGTGGCAAGGCATATGGGTTCATCACCGGCGCGGTAAAGAAGAGATACTGCTCCCGGGTCGCCAAGCTGGCGGCGATGACGTCATCGTCGCGCAGGATGCGATCCGCATCCCGTGCGTTGATGCCACTGATCTGTAGTAGCTGGACCTTGTGTGGCTTCGTACCGTCGCGAGTCTGACGATACAGAGCAAAAAGGTCCTTGCCGTAGCCGCGCTCTTGGTCGCGAAAAATTTTGCTGGGGCGACCTTTGTCCATGAGGACGTTGAGGTCGCTCTGACGAGCTTTGGTTCGCTGGCCTCCCCGCGTATAAGCCCATGTCCTCAAAGAACCCTGCAATCTCGTCATGTCCGTGAAGAAGGCCATGGTAGACGCGGGTAACCTTGTCGGCAGCGCATTGGGCAAAGAGTTCCTCGGGCGTGGCGCCCGGAATGAACGTGAGGGTCAGGGGCGCCTCAGTGCGGTCAAGCTGTCCGTCAACGTGGCCCTGCAGACTGGCATGATTGAGCCACAGCTCAAAGGGGATCGCATTCTCTTCAATGATCGTGTTGAGGCCCGACTTATTGGTCTTTTTAAAGTGGGCGAACCTCAGGACCCGGCACGCCAGGGGAACGAAAGGACGAAACAACGGAAACACGGACAGACTGAGCTGCCCACACCAAGCCGTGTGACGTGGTCATTGACCGCTGCCGGATCTTGACCATCACGGCATTCATGGCATGCAGACCGAGGGTCTCATGCGCCAACGTTGTTGGCAAACAGTGCAGGGTGTTGAACAGGGCCTCGTATACTCCATGGCCTGTGCGACCTGGAGGAGTCTAGCGGGGGTGACCTCCACACAGCGACACGCAGGTGTGCACTGGTGGGAATGCCTCGGTCGTGCGCCGCGGACCCGCCTCAGGACCCAGGAAAAGTGTGCTGTCCCAAGAGGTCCGCGCGAAGTCAGCGCTGGCCTCCATTTTCTTCTGAATCGGGGTTTGGGCGGCCATGGTGCAGAGTGCAAACCGAATGAGAGGGGAGTCGCGTGAATGCAAACAGATGGCTGCAGAAACACAGGAAGAAAAACAGAGGCATGGAATCGCCCGAAAGAGACCGGAAATCCGGTATACTGTCGGTCTGCGGGGGCCAGATTGAATTAGAGAGTCACAGCCGAATTACGCGTCTGTGCCGTCTGAACTGTCCCTGATCGCAGCCAGCAGCACCTCACGCATGCTCTCGTCGACGCGCCACCTGCTGCAGGGGGAACCAGCGAAGCAACACCGAGACGCGGTCGCGCGAATCGACGCGTGCTGGTGCCTGCCAGTTTCGCTCGTTCAACGCCCGCAGCAAAAGCACTTCGAATGTGGCGGGGCTGCAGTACCGCAAGGAGCGGTCAAGACGGCTCAGATCCAGCCATTGCCGCTCTTTGAGGGAGGTGTCCACTGTCACTGGCCTGCGTGCATTGCAGAGGCAGCGCCCCGCGCCCGCGCCCCAACCCCAGGCCGACGCCGCGCCTGTGCAACAAAATCTGCAGCGGAAATTGGGTCACGGCGGCCAAGTGGGATCGCAAAAAGTTCTGTGGGAAACCGCCGACAATGGCACCGGTGGTAGGAGAAGCGACGCCCACAACCTGGAAGCCAGCGTCCACATCCCAGCCAGACCCACGAAGAGGTTGTTGCAGTTCCACGGACAAGCGTCGTAACGCCTCCACCACCCGCGTGCGGCCACCTTCGGATCGCACGCGCGGTTCGCGGAGCACGCGACCTGCGGGTTGAGGGCTGAGAAAGGTCAGGACCAAAGGTAGAGAGTACGTCAGCAGCGCGCGCAAACGCACGGTTGGCCGCGCGGACCCCCAGATGCACCCGGACCAGGAATGCAGTTCCCAGCGCTGGCGGCCATGAACCAAGCTAGCCACAAGCCCCTGCAAAGTCGCCGAAGAAAAAATGTTTGCTCTTCCCAGTCGTACATGACCTTCTAGCGATCCGGGCTGTAGGTTGACCAGCACTGTGGGCGGCGATGCCCACGCGCGTGCCAACGATCCACATACCCTGCAAGCGCGCAGCAGCCACGCTCCCATAGGACACAAATGCGGCGCCAAATGGCACACCAGTCATCGTATAGCCAATGGTGTGCAGGGCTGGATTGATTCGCAGCAGGTGCTCCACGTATAGGCTGCTACCTGCGGCAAAAATTCAGCCACATGGAAGCGCTGGGGAGGCATGACAATGCCACAGCCGAAGGTCGCACAAAGGATGCCGCCACGCTGGTAGGCGCGGACGCTGCGGGCTTTGCAGGTGTTGCAGTCATCCGCCTCTGGCGCCCACACTTGTGCAGGCGGAATCCGCGCTGCACGCGGCTGCCACCAAGATGTGTGTGTATTCCTCCGGACAAAAATACGACAACGAACAAAAGGCGACGAAAGAAAGCCGCACCTCTGCCGCCGGCGGTCGCGCAAGCGGGCAGCATGAACCTGCAGCAAATGCTCCTCCTGCGCACGATGCTCTGCAATGCCGCAGGTGATGTGCCCGCGGCGCGGGGCCCGCAAACAGAAGGCGGTGCGCCCATCGAGACCGCGTTCGGCGAAGCAGCGCCCATGCGGGACGAGCTTCTCATTAAATCCAGCGGAATGCTAGAGGCGCAAGCAGGACCACACCAGGCAGGATGCGTAGTCACCCAACGGTCCTCGAACGCTTGCCGCAGCACGGGGAACAGCTGCTGGCAAGCGAGCTGTAGCGCCAGGCTGCGATCCACGGCGCGGCCACTGAGCCGCAGCCGCACGGCCGAAGGAGCTCCAAAGAAGCCAGCCATCCAAGCCGTATCCAGCAGTGATTCCACCACCGCAAAATGGAGATACACCGCGAAGAAAGGCGAGCGCCGCACTGCAGATCCACCCCCGCCGAACACGGCGTTAGGAAATCGTGCCCGCTGATACCCCCAATGAGAAACAAGCCATCAAACCGCTCGAGCAAGTTCCGATGGAGCCAAACGCTTTGCGTCAATGGATACAGCAGCGGGCGCGGCGCCGCAACGTCACCCGGCAGCACACGATCCCAACCACGCGCATCACGGCAAAACCATGGATACACTTGCATGCCGAAAAAAAAAAGCAGCGTAAGGCCCGCAGCTGCATCGCCGTGGTTTCATTCATGTAGGTGCGCGACTTCGATTTGCTGTACCGGCTGTGGCCGCAACTCCGCCGCACAGGAAGGGCAAACGTCCAAGTTAGACGCCCACAAGGCATCCGCTTCCATGGCAGCACGGCGCGCGAAGCCGCAAACGTAGGAGCCAAAAGCCGCTAGAAGGATGCGTTGCGCGCCAGGTCATGCCGGGCCACATCCTGCGCGGGACCGGCGCCGGCTTCCAGTCTCCTGCCCGCTAAATCCTGCAGGGCATTCATAGTTCTGGCGCCTGCGCGGAAGTCCACGCGAAAGTGTCGGAGAGAGGGAGACGAACGGACGGGGCAGGGAAGGGACGGAACTTTGGCCACCCGAAAGAGCCGGATTGATCATTTCCGGGAAAGGTAGTAGGCGCGGCAGAAAGATAGAGGTAGGCTAGCTTCTGTGCCTACGGCCACTCCAATTTGGGGCGCACGAATCGTCGACGTTTCGCGCGCCCCTCACCGAGGTGCTGCTCTGCTGCTTTCCTCCCCCCGTCTGTCCCTTTTCGTGGTGCCCATGCCCTTGCGTGATGGGGCAGGAACGCGCAGGACAGGCAGCGACAGGGCGGAAGAGGAAGGAAGGGGGAGGGTGAGGGAGACAGGCGAAAGGGAGCGGGAGGAAGACAGAGGTCGGCGAGCTCTACTGTGCCTACGGCCACTCCACTTTCGGGGGGCGCTCGAATCGTCGACGTTTCACGCGCCCCTCACGGCGGTGCTGCTCTGCTGCTTTCTCTCCCTCCCTCCCTTTTCGTAGCGCCGGTGCCCTTGCTTGATCGCTGGTATTCGGGGTCAGTCGTTGCGTGCCAGATCCTGCCGGGGCGCATCCGGCAGGAAGGGGAGAGGGGGAGGCAGGTGGAGGGGGGCAGAGAGAGGAAAGCGCCCCTATGGCGACAGGCGAGGCATTAGCCGAGGACAGCCCCTATGGCTAGCCTAGGCATAGGCCTAGGGCCTATGGCTAGCCTAGGCATAGGCCTAGGATAGGCCTATGGATAGCGCTAGGCATAGGCCTAGGATAGGCCTATGGATAGCCATGATAGCCTAGGCATAGGCCTAGGATAGGCCTATTAGGATAGGCCTAGGCATAGGCCTAGGATAGGCCTATGGATAGCGCTAGGGATAGGCCTAGGATAGGCCTATGGATAGCCTAGGCATAGGCCTAGGAT